GATGGCCTATGTGAAGCTCATGGGCTTAATGTGACTGGCGTACAGCTGTGCAGTCCAGAGGTCACAGTTACAGACAGGAGGGTAAAATGAAGAAGGTCTGTTTCCTTTGGCAGGCAAGGATGGAACTTCCAAAACTCCAGCCAAAGACAAAAGAGACATTTCAAGTCAGCATAAAATATTACGAAGCCAGTCCGTGGCCAGCCAAGACAAAAGATAAAACATGGTTGTCACTAAATACAACGGTGCTGACAGGACCAACCCAATCTGGCAACTTGGATGGAAACCATTACTTCTAACTGGACTGGAGCTTTGAAGATTGGAGGAATCTTGTGGTGGGAGTCCGCCCCCCCGCCCAACCAGCTAGGCACCTCAGCAGAATCCACCAGTACTCTGTCATTTGTACAGATGTCCAGCCAAATAGTATGCGCACATGTGTGTGTGTGTGTGTGTGTGTGTGTGTGTGTGTGTGTGTGTGTGTGTGTGTGTGTGTGTGTGTATGGGGCATCTTTCCTACGCACACAAATCCACAATGTACATACGCATTCTCTACCTCGGCTCCCATGTTTCATCCTCCCCGCTCTCCCCGTGTTGTGTTTGTTGAGCTCTCAGGCCCAAATCCATTATTACCTCCTGAAATGACAACTCATTTCCACAAATGTAATCCTTTCCCTTGCCTGCGTGAAGCTGTAAAGTAAACACAGTCTTCTCTCCAGAAAGCAGAGAGCAAGGAGGGTAGGGACACGCCACTTCAAATTTGCAAAAGGGAACTCAGAATGGTGAACGGCAGACCTGTGGAGTGAAGATGATAAAGACTAAGAGCATTTGAAGGGATTTATTCCAAAGCACCGCAGCGTCTACAGATATACTATATAAAGTACATACATAAGGCTTGTGGATAGTAGAATTTTCCATCTTGAAGTGTCCACTTTAACAAGAATATTGATCTATTTCAGAGTCTGTGTCATGGTCCCTGGGTCTTGGGCCCACGTTTTTGAAGTTTTTTGTGAGTTCATGGTATGATTTAAGAGTTTGTTTTCAGTCAGAGGGTCCCTCTGCTCCCTCTGTCCTCGTTCTGTCCGTCCATTAGTCGCGTGAAAGTGTGTTTTTCTTTTCCTTCAGTGTGTGTGAAGTTAATCTTGCTCCCCTGTGTAGCTGTGGCTTACTTCCTGTTTTATTTTGGTAACAGCTGGTCTTTTCTGTCTTGTGTCTAATTTTACTTCCTTTGTCATTTTCTTAATTAGTTTCAGCTGTGTATTTTCGACCCTGGCGTGTCCATTGTATTTAATTACCTCTAGTGTATATAAAGCCTCAGACTCCCCTTCACTCACTGTCAGTGCCTGTTTCTCTTTTCTGTTTGCCATCCCTGTGTGTTTTAGGCTTCTATTAGAAACATTTTGGATTATGATGGTGGACTTTTGTTTCCTACCTAAAGTTGTGTATATGTGTTTGCGTCTTATTTCTACCAACCTTAGACAAAATGTGGAACACATCTTGAATCTAATCCTATCTGTGTCCAGTGCAGAGCAACTGGTGTGAGACTCGTCGGCCTTTCTTCTCTTTTATCCAGAAAGGACCAATTCTCCTAACGGACTATATTATTCAAATTTAGGGCTGCAGAAATAGTTCTAATAGTAAATTGTCATGGGGCACATCCTCAATTTGTCTAAGCAACAGTTCAGACAGAAACCATCAAACGTCCCAGAGGAAAGAGGTTTTATTTTTTTTAGCCAAATGCAGTGTTTCCTACAAAAATATTGTATTTTTGGTGGTAGCAGGTCAAGGGGCACACACAAATGTGCCCACACAACACCCACACTTTCTTAAACAAATTAATAAAGAGGCCAAATACGATATACTAGTACTTTGAGTCAATAAAATACAACAAGTAAGCTGCACAGTGAAATTGCTAAACATACAGTAAAGCTCTACTGGAAAACAATGATTGCCATTACTCAAATCATTTTGTGTGAAGTGTGTTGTGCTGTAGGACTTTCTCTTGCTTCATTTAGTTTTATTGCCATTGTAATACTAACAATTTTTGGAACACTTATTAAAACAATTGCAGGTAAAGCTGTAAAGTGAATATTGAAACAGTCAGAACGTAGGTTTAAAAAATGTGTTTTTCTAGCAAAATGTAATACGTTTTATGCCATTTATGTGGCATATTAATAATGAGGAAATAAATATACATTTTTAATCTATAGGCTGAAACTTCACCATCACAAAGAATAAATATATTAAGACAAAAAAACAAATTATACAATTGAAAGTGTCATAAAAATATTTGTAATTTGTCATCAAAAGTAAACCACCTGTTTACCCTTCTCCCACAGATATAGACCTTTTTTCAACATTGGTGTTCAGACTGTAGTTGTCATTTCAAACAACCTGTGAATATGGTTTGGATGGTTAGTTAGCAAGATGCAATACGATCAACGACATGATAAAATTTTAGAGGGTGTAGTTTAATGCATAGTTCACTGGTTGGTTCATAAAACTCTGAACTCTGTTTATATTCCTTTCCTGATTTGGTGTGGTTTGTATGTGTTTCTTCAAACCTCCACACGGTAGATATGCATGCAGATATTTGGTAACAATACATTATGTGTAAAGGTTTTAGATTTGATGACATTATTGGTAATATGTAACATTGCTATAGTTTTAGACATGTTTGTTTTAGCATCATTGTCTGAGCTTTGTAGTATAATGTATGGTCATCACAGACGAAAATCAATGTTCATACACACTACTTCAAATAACTGACTTTGTTTTATTTGCCTGTTGCAAACTTTATGCAATAACTCCATTACAATTTATTAATGTCAAGCCATTTCTTTAAACCTTCTAAGTTGATAATAGTAATTGATAGGCAAACAATAATGACTTGAATTACATATATTTGTAATTCAAGAATTACATTTAAAAGTCAAAATTTATTATTTGCTTAGGCAGTAATTAATACATTAAACTTTGCCATCTATTTTTCATTTTGGCAAAGCCACATTCAGGGCGGTAGTGTTATCATCCAATTCTCCTGATGCTTGGTTCATTAGGAGCGCTGAACTATAGCTGTCTGGTGAGCTGCAGACATGCAGCAAGAACATGCACACTGTCGTGTGTGCCTGCAAAAAGCTTGTACTTTGTCAGCATATTGCAGTTTAACCCAATCTACGTACTGTCAAATGCAGGAGCTTGTTAAAACTCCAACCTGATATTTTTCAGAACACAGCAGATCCATATACTGAGGCATGTGACCCAGTGAAAAGAGTCTAGTGACATGGTCCTTATCTCCAATAGCTATCGCAGGTCTTGCCCCGTTTGGCAGCCTCAGTGAACCTCGGTGTAGGGTAGAAGTGTAGTGTAGGTAGCCGCACATGAACCAGTTCTCACTCACTGCACGCAGTTGTTAAAGTGGCCCTACAGCTCTGCAGAGCTCCAGCATGAAATGGGATGAGAATTTAGGGAAAATTGATTCCATTATCAATATCACTTATCGATTCAATTCCTTATCAAGGGTTGACGTGCCAGTCTGTGTATGGAAATTAGCACCAACTAAATCAGCATCTGTTCCTTAAATGCCCACTATTTTACACATAACTGATGTAGCAAATTCTGACTTCCAACAAAAAAGAGGGTTTATGTCCTGTTTGGGAGGTTTGCTCACTGCTCTATGCTTCTTTTTGGCTAGGTTAAGGCTCTATTAACTCTACTTGGTCCGGCTTAAAATATGAAAATATAGGCCAATATCCATAATACCGTTCTTTCCAGTGTTAACATTTCAGGATAAAAAAGAAAAAAAATAACCCTGAGAGGTTTTGACAAAGAGCCCTTTATGCAAAATTTATAATAAGACTGCCCTCAAACTTACTTGGACAGGTGCAACTTGGCACCAGCACCAAAGAACACGTTGAAACAAGAGCTGTACCTGTCACATTTCAGAATGGTAGAGGAAAAAGGCTAAATTAGACTAAATTAGAGATTTTAAGATTAAAGATAAATTGGCTTTGGCTGCCCAGACATATCCAATCAAACCTGTTCTGTATTATATAAAGAGACAATTAAAGGCAGACATTCTTATAGCTTCAACTAAAAGGCAGGCACGCGGGCGCACAAACACACACACACACACACACACACACACACACACACACACACACACACACACACACACACACACAAGCTACATCAGATAAACAAAAAAAGAGAAAATCAGTCCTCCATCAGCGTGCCCACCAATCCATCCCTTACCCTCAGCCACATCATATGTGACTGGTTTAATCGCAGGCCAATCATTGCCAGGTCACAATTAATAAAAGCCACAACAGCCGCAAATAAACAAGTCCAAATTGCTGCCTTAATCGAATGATGCAAACATTGGTGAGTTACAAAAGTTCACTGCCGCCACTGACAATTTCCTAATTGTATTCACTCATTCATGGCAATTTTATTAACATGGAGCGGATGTCTTCTGCCCTTCCACTGTCACAGCACCAGGGATCTAATTTCATTATTTTCCACAAGATTTGCTTGACTACTGCCGCCATGCTAGTGGCGCACCACGGCCAGATGTTTATGCTATTTAAATGAGGAAGCAAAGCCTGTTGGGTAAACATAATTAAAGAAAGTTGAAGCTTTGTTTTTTTTTTAACTTCTCTTCCTTGCCCTCTCTTTGTCTCCCTATCTCTCCTCCAAAGTCTCTCTCTCTCTTTCTTTCCTAACTTTTACTTCATTAGACAAATTTCAATTAACATCAGAGCCACATGTTTCTCTGAGCAGGAGAACGAGAGCTGCACGGAAAGGTGGGCATGCAGACAAGTGTAACACAGTGGACAGTGCACACACAGTGTATGCACAGATGCTTTAGCCTACAATTAACATGCAAATATGCTAATTTTGTGCACAAAAACACAAACACAAGTGAGTGTTTTCTTCGCTGACCGCTTGTTAAAGCGAACCTGGTGACTGGGATGCTCTTGAATCATTCACAACTCTATTCCTACCTGTGCACCTGATGAATCCAAACACGGTTGACCTGTGGCCACCTCTGCGGGTGTGTGTTTATTAAAATCATCACCCAGCACAGCCCAATCACACAGGCATTACTGCCCACGCCTGTTGCATGCTAAATAGGAGGAGAGACAGAGAGAGAGAAAGAGAGAGGGTAAATTAAATCACTCATGTCATGGTGCTAATAGGCCGGGCTTGCGCTCTGTGTAATTCCAGGCTGGAGCTACAAAAATAAGTTGGGTTAAAAAAAAAACACAGAGCAAGAACATTCTATTAGGGCCAATATCACAGACAGTGTGTTACAAGGGGTCATTACAAGATTATGTAAACCAAGAGAGCACATTTCCATGCCGTGGTCATTTACATGTGATTATTGCATCAGAGTTATGCAGCGATTATACGGGGCTCGCCTCAGACATGCCAAGCCATATACACACGGGCTCAGGCTGTGCACACACACGCACACACACACACACACACACACACACACACACACACACACACACACACACACACACACACTAAATTATGTCAAGATTATAGAAGGGGCTTGATCTTGAAAATAAAAGCAAACTCACAACAGCACCTGTCTGTGGCCTCTCTGTTTAGACTGAGGATTTATCCGCTGATGTCCCATGTTGCGGCATGAATCCAGGGACACCCTGCTCATAAAAGCCTTCATTTGAACTACCGTAAGCAGAAGAATTCATTTACCCCGTTTGATAGAAAACATCCTATCCGCCGCCTGCATTACTGCCCCAGTATTGCTGGGGCTTCATGGCTCAAAAATGCTTTGGCGCTCCAGTCATACAAGCACTTTTTAAGTATGCAGCACGCAGCACATTCGATACCCTTTAGTGCACACGAACTGAGTAGCTGTCAAAAATACAACAGGCATCTCAAGTAATTATGCAGATTTATGCAAAACATTAACAAGAAGAATTAAAGGCACAAATGAGGTGGCTACACTTGAATTGTTAAGATTATGAATAATTACCATGAATCTTTTTGCTCTTAATATAACTTGTTTTTGATAAACAAAGCCTTAATTATCGGAATACTTTGGAGGATTCTGGTGACCTTCATTAATCTTAGACAACAAGTCTCCGGTGAGACTTGAGATGAGGCCTGTATACGTGCGTGTGCACGCACACACGCATGTGCACACACATACATATAGGGTAAACACGCATGCATGGCGGCGCATATGCTAACTAGCCACTTCAGCCCTGGAGCAAGCAGACAGACAGGTACACCTCCTAGTTAAGCCAAGAGAGCTCCTCACACTCCCCGGTGTGTCCCAGTATGGTAAGCCAGGAGGACAGATGCACAGGCGCACACATGAAGCAGGTGACTCAGATGCTCCTTTGAGAATTGGCAGCACCAGGTCCTTCACTAATTACAATTACATCTCACTTCCCTCCCCTTTCCACTTTCCTCTAACTTTGGACATGAATATTCCAGCAGAGCCATTGTGCATTGGACACGCTGCTCAATATGTCCCATAATTAAAAGCATGATGTGCGAGATGAAAATACTAAGGGCACCCAACTCTACTCGCAGCTCGCTGTCCCCGAGAGAACAGAGAGCAAGAGATTTTGATTTTTTTTTTCAGTGCCTAAAATCATATGCTAGAAAAATATTTTTTTGTATTTTCAAATTATTTTGAATTATTTTACTGAAAAACTTGAAGCAACAGGAGGAAGACAAATTTACGTGCAGTGCTATGAAAAAGTGTGAAAATTTGCCCCATTACTGCTGTTTAAATTTCCTGCATATTTGTCACACTCACGTTTCAGGGAATCAAGCAAACTTTAACATTAAACAAGGATGACGTGAGAAAAGACAATATATAGTTTTTAAATGATGACTTCATTTATTGGGTCATCATTTGGAACATGTAGATGTTGAAAATTTTTCCATGTGAAAAAGTAATAGCTCCTAAAAATAATAACTGATTGTACCAACTTTTGCAGTTAAAAACTGCAATCAAGCATACCTGGCAGTAAGTCTTTCACATTGCTCATCCCACTCTTCTTTGCAGAGTTGTTTTAAAGGATGATCTGAAAGGTCGTGCCAACCGTTATTTTGTTTTTCTTTAGCCATTCACCATAAATGGTAAATGGACTGCTTCTTATATAGCGCTTTATACAACTTGCCTCATTCACCCATTCACACAAGCACTTTTTTTCTATTCTCTATGTAAATGCTTCTGTCTACCATTCACACACTTTTATACTCTGATGGATGCATCACAGAGCAACTTGGGGTTAGTATCTTGCCCAAGGATACTGGGCATGCAGACCGGAGCAGACAAGGATCATACCACCAACCTTCCCATTAGTTGGTGACCTGCTCTACCACCTCGGCTACAGCCATCCCAAGCAAAGGCGGTGGGCTTGCTTACTGCATTTCAGGTCATTGCCCTGGTGCGTAACCCAAATGTATCTGACCTTCAGGGAACACATTCTGATTCAATAATTTCTAGTAGATAGCAGAGTTCATGGTAACATCAATTATAATAAGTCGTCCAGGCCCTGAAGCAGCACGTCAGCTCCAGACCATCACACTGCCACCACCATGTTGAAATGCTGTGTTAGTTTTATGTCAGATGTAACAGGAACAAACCTTCCAAAAGTTCACCTTTTAGATGGTTTGTGTGCAAAACTACTCCACTGCTTTCCTCTGACATGTGAACAAGACCCCGAGACACTTTGATTTGTTTACTTACGGCAGCAGCTGATCCCCGAACAGGGACAACGTTTTTATACCTACCCCTTCACACACTGCTGAAAACTGCCCCAGCATGCTCTACCTAACAAAGCCAACAGACCCACAATATCTGGAAAAAGAGATGATATCTTGAGGCCAGCAAAGTGGAAACCTACAGCTACTTGGCTTTGCTTTGAAGTTCTTGGAAGCCACTTGGCTACACTTAGAATAAGTGACAAATGCTTTCTTCACTTCTGGTGTCATGACATAGCTGTCATGGTGGGAATTACCACCATTCACCTTGCATCCTCGGTGCTGCAAAGTTCTGCCAGCAATGGAAGATCTTAGACCAGGACCTCTGCTGGGTGCTCCCAGTGTATCATTATATATTGGGCATGATGGGCCTCTTCAGCATCCTCACTGATCACCTAATCCAACCCACCACCAGGTGGTGATCGTTTAACAGTTCAGCTCCTCTCTTCAACCAAGTGTTCATGACACATGACCACAGATCTGATGATACAATTACAAAACCAACAGGCAACCGAAAGTATCCAAGTATCACATGCACTTATGGTCAAATATGATTTTTATGGACATACTGAGAATTCCAATAACAGAACAACACTCAGGTTCAGATCTTGCAGGCTGTTCCTTCCAGTAATACCACTCCACGTCTGATTCACATTGCCAACGTAAGTGTGGAAATCTCCCAGTAGGACAATGGAATCTCCTGATGGGGCACAACCAAACCCAATGATCAAAGGAGGCTGAAACCTCAAATGTAAACGACAGTAGGGTAAAAAAACCAAACAAACAAAAACCCTGTCACGGGGAAGCAAACCTCAAACTCTGAGGATTGCATTGGCTCCAAACCCTGTTTCATCCTGGTTGTAGCCATGGTTCAATTGGGGTAAAGTCCAACCTTACCCCTAATCTGTTAGGGCCATAGTTAGGTTCATGTCAAAGATCAAGACATATGACACCTGTCCAACTCAGTGACCACTACAACATTATTCATTTCTTTATGAGTTCCTCAGAAAGGTTCTTTGTCCCTCTTGGAAAGTTTCTGACCAGGAAGCAAGAAGAGAGAGGCGATATAAGCCTAAAGATTAAAGTCATTTTACGTAGGGTTGGATACGTTAACTAAGTTAGACAAATGCTAGATTTTAGCAAGTAGCATGATCCTGAGGTTCAGCTCTATCAAATTCCAGAACCACTAAAACTAAATATGTTACGGCACTGACAGTACAAAGACAGAAAACAATAATTTTTTTGTGCATGTTATAAATCACATTGTACCAACTTTGGGTTTGGCTTTAGAACTCTGCTAATGCTCCAATGAATATGTAGTCATCAATAATGTAATCAGCATTTAATACTATGCATATCTAATAATATGAGATTAGGTTTGATTATCTCGTGTGTTAATCATAGCAAGTGATGACTCTGCAACTTCTGGTGCTTCAACAATTAGGTCTGATCCCAAGGGTGTCTGACACCCAGGGGTGCTGCCAATCAAATCTCTGTTGATTGTTTTGGCTTAGTATCTATATTGTTTCTATTTATTCCCATCTACCTAATGAAATGCACACACACGTCTAAACACAAACACACACTTTCTCATAAGAAACCACAAAGAAAAGCTTGCTACACACACATGCTGTTTAAATATCATTTGGCCAAGTTAAGCACAGAAAACTCTCGTTCTCTTTCTGACCTATCACAGCTGACTTTGGGTAAGAGATGGGATACACTCTGAGCAGGCTGCCTGACACAGCGCAAACAGAGGCTGAAAACACATAGATGATGGATGAATCAATAAACCCCAGTTCTTTTTTGTCTGGTTTGTCTGCTCCCCCAAGCAACAGCTTTTTTCTGTGTTTAATTTTACTTTTCCTTCATTTTTTCGCGAGTAGCACTTGTCTCCTTGTGTACGACCGACAAACCTTACTGGACATAAAAGACGGTCTTTCTTATAACTTTCCGGAGTTCAAGTTTTGCAACACGGACGCTCCGTTTGCAGACCCCCCATTCATCTCACCTGAGACGCCTTTGTTCTCTGGCCCTGGAGGCCGCAAACGCCGACGCAGAGGGAGAAGATCTGGCGTTCTGGTTCGACTGAGACGGCGCACTAACAGACCACCGTTACCCAGTTTATTACTGGCTAATGTGCAGTCTCTGGAGAACAAGCTGTGCGAGCTTCGGGCACGGATCTCATTCCAGCAAGAGATGCGGGACTGCTGCGTGATCTGCCTCACAGAAACCTGGCTATCGGACAAGGTACCGGACTCCGCAATACAACTGCCGGGGTTCTCTGTGCATCGCGCGGACAGGTCACAGGATCTTACTGGAAAAGCAGAGGCGGTGGTGTGTGTTTCATGCTCAACAACAGCTGGTGTG